ATTTACGTTACGTTTGAATGAAAAAAATGGTTGGGTTGTGATTTTTGGCTAAGTTTAAGAACACACTGCCCTTTAACTGTAACCGATATTTCACAACATTTTGGTGAACTTTTAATCAGTTAAAAAATGATAGATGAAGCTGATTATAACAAATGATAAAAGTAGAGCCAAAAGTTGTTTTTTTTTGTGTATTTTATTTCAACAAACAATATTTGACACATTTAAGAACATTAACGATTGAGCGGAATACGACAGAACATCCATTATTATTAATTACTTGGTGACAAGGATTGTTTATTTGGAAACGTTTGGTCACAAATATGACGTTCTACTTGTTCCCGGAGATTTTCAATGGGGTTAAGGTCTAGAGATTTTGCTGGCCACTGTAAAACTTCAAACCACTATTTAACAACTTGTGAAGAGTGTTTTGGATGGTTGTCCTAGCATGGCATGATATTTTATAGATAAATTGGTCCATAGTGTCAAAAATTTACCATGTTTAATTAATTGAAACTATCGGCTTTTTAGCAGGACATCTAGTAAATAACTTTGCTTAATCTTTATTGTACTGCTACTTCACTGTATTGCTTTCGCTAAAGCTCTTCTTTTGAAGAAATTATTTGAATGTTGCTTGCCTTTTAACGCGTTACTATTAAGCATTTAAAACTAATATATTTTAATCTAATATCATTTGTTCTGTTAGCGTCACCAATAAGACAGGTCTACAGTGATTTTGATGTTTGAAAGGTGCTTGCTTATTTGTATATTTTTGGAGCCCTTTTTCCAAAAAATGCTATATTTATGCTCTATAACGTCAACTTTTTTTTATGGCACTCTATATCTTAAATATGATATTTTAGGCATGATTTTTAAATGAATTGATTTTTATGAAATTAAATGTCATTTGGCAACACTGGATAATATTAGATTTCTCTGCAACAGTCAGCGCAGAAGCGTCAATACAGCGTAGCAACCTGCTTATGCGCAGTTTGGTTGTAAGGGTCGTCATGTTATTGTGTTCGCGGCTGTTGTCTTCGTTGTTGCGTATTTATAGTGTTCTAGAAAGTATAAACATGGAAATAATACATTGTGTGAACAATCCAAATAACTCTTGTTATATCTGTAGTAAAGCAAAGGCAAACTATAACTTCTTTAGTGAAAAATGTATACCACGCTTATTTTGGCTTCATGAAGCAGTTTGTTAAAGCCCTAGACAAAAATGGACAGTGTTTCAAATATTTGTGCGGGAAATTTCCAGCCATATCTAATGTCAAGATAAAAAAAAGTTTATGGAAAGACAAGTAGACCAGTTTCGTTTAAAGATGTAATTGATCAGTTTCTTGGGAACTCTAAGGACGAAAACTACGAAAGTATCGTTCAAAATAGGTTACGACACTTTCAACGTCTAGGTTGAAATAATCGTCTAGGCTGAATAAAAAAAAAATATTTTAGAAATATCGTTTTTTTCTTAATATTTTCAAAAAAACCTTAAGCGATATAAATAAATGCATAGAAATTTTGAAATCAGCCTACCAAAATCTGTCAAAAAGTTTAATTTTGTAGACCAGTGTAATGATAGCCTACGTTGCAGTTTTAAAACTTATTGTATTTTTATACATTATCCTGTAAGTGTACGTATTACTCATTTCGGCATTTCGAGAGATTTCAAGTGAGCGCTGTCCGGGAATATGCGATACGATCAAGAAGCATGACTCATTTGTCCGTGAATATGCGATACGATCAAGAGGCATGACTCATTTCTTATCTAATCACCTTTAGAATCGATTTCCGATTTTCTAGTGTAGCATTTTATTTATGACAATTGTATTTCCATAATCGTCAAATAAATCCCAAATAAAGAATATTTATAAACCGCGTATCCGTAGGGCTACACGAGACGACATGATATTAGACTAAAAAAAAGTCGCGAAAAACCTAAATAATTATTACAATTAATGTGGCTGAAAACGTAAGTAAAGTAGGTCGAGTAAAAATGATCTAGAAATTTTCCATTTTGACCATCCTGAAATCAGATGATTTTCAACAATAGTTCACCCGTCAGGTTGCTTGAAAGTGGTAGACAATGATTCAGAAGAAATGTAAACAGATTGTAGAACTTCAATTGTCTTTTTTTTTGTTACGTTTCAGGCAGATGTATGATTCATTTTAATGCTAAGGCTACGAGGCTTCTATACCAGACTACAGACCATATTGTTGTTTCCTAGGTTCTTCAACTCTAACGTTTATAGGTGTTTTGGTTTCTTCAATATACGACTGTCTACTATTTGATAATAATGTTTTGAATAAAGCGAAGCAACCCCACAATGGTAATTGTGGGGTTGCTCTCGGGTTAATTTTAACGTATCTGAAGTAATTTTAGGAGGGATCCAGTTTCATATAAAAAAAAACAATATAAAATAACATTTGTCTGAAGATGGTAAACAATGATTCAGTAGAAATACAAAGAACTTGTGGAAGTTTTTTGTTTACACATACTGGAAAACCATAGTCGAAAGCTGATACCACGTCAAATTAACTATCATAGATGAAAGAAATCCAACAGAGGTTTGAAAAAATAAAAGAACTAACTTATTAACATATTTGGGAATATCAATAGAGCATGTCCCAAAATCAGAGAAGGAGTTAAAAAAAAACTGTCCTGAAGGAACCTTTGCTCTATTGAGACGTTACAACTGAAAGGACCGGAAATAGATTAATTGAATACTACCACTAAATCGAGGAGACACTTGCAAAAAGCAAATACAGACTACTTTCTAGTGACCATACTAGAACGATTGAAGGAAGAATCTATTGAGCACTGCAATAATACAGACGGATTATAATGTAACTTCGTTAACTCCGCACCACAGTAAAATTCCAAAAATCCACAAAGTTCGTGGGATTCCGCAAGAAAATTTCTGCATCAAATCGTCCAGCCACTTGCGGGAACAACTCCTTCATTTGTAAAGAACACCGAGCGTTTTCTAGATATTTCAAAAAACGTAAGATTATGTCCTTCAGACAAGTTTTTTTTAGCTTTTACGTGGAAAGTGAATACACCAACATGCTCTTGGAGGAATTGTTAGCCATTGTCGAGGCTAGATTGAGGAATGATATACTTCCGAACACAACGGGAGTGATGGAGCTCCTTAGGTGTTGTCTGCATAAATTTTACTTTGATGACATATCCATCGACAGCTAGATTCCTTTAGCAATCATCTTCATATGTGAAGAGAACATCAGAAAATATCGGTCGAATAGCAAAACAATACAAAGTTAAGACTGTATTCTGGTAGGGGCGTTTTCTCATTTATTAATGAAATGTAAAAATGCATTTTTTACGAAATTTTCTACAAATAAAGTGCGGATTTCAAAAACAAATTAGAATTAAATCAGGATACAAAAATAAGGCATTGTGATTTTAAATACTTTTATTTATACAATATATATTTATAATTTATTTAGCATCAGAAATAAAAATAATATACAATATTATTGCCACCTTTAATAGGTAGAATTATATATTAGTAATCACTCGGTACTGGTAAAATCCCAAAAATTGTAAGATAAATTAAAACTTGTATTTTCCTACAAAGAAACGAAACCAACTGAAAGTCTGGGAATACCCCTATATAGGTTAAGGGAAATATTTTTTTTCTAAAAATAAAGTGCGGATCTTAAAAACAAAGAAGAATTAAATCAGGATAAGGAAAATTAAGACATTGTCATTTTAAATACTTTTATTTATACCATATATGTTATTTACCATCAGAAATAAAGAGAATATACAATAATATTGCCACGTTCAGTAGATAGAATTATATATTAGTAATCACTGGGTATTGGAAGGACACCAAAAATCCCAAAAACGATATCTTCTGAAAATAGATACACCAATACAAAACTTTTTTTTTTTCATTTTCTCATTTTTTCTCATAAACAAACAAGAATTAAATCAAGATTAAAAGAAATAAGACATTGTGATTTTAAATACTTTTATTTATACAATATGTATTTATAATTTATTTAACATCACAAATAAAAATAATATACCATATGATTGCCACCTTTAGTAGGTAGAATTATATATTAGTAATCACTCGGTATTGCAAGGACCGTAAAATCCCGAAAACTAAAATATAACTTAAAACTTGCATTTTCCCACAAAACAACTGAAAATCTGCGGATACACCAAAATAGGTAGGTAGAATTATGCATTATTATAGACAGCAAAAATCCCAAAAACTGTAAGATAAATTAAAACTTGTATTTTCCTACAAAAAAAACAAAACCAACTGAAAATCCGCGAATACACCTTAATGAAAATATTTTTTTTAGTTTTCTCATTTTTTAATGAAACGTAAAAATGTATTTTTTTTACGATATTTTCTACAGATAAAGTGCGGATCTCAAAAACAAAGAAGCATTAAATCAGGATAAAAAAAATAAGACATTGTGATTTTAAATACTTTTATTTATACAATATATATTTATAATTTATTTAACATCAGAAATAAAAATAATATACAATATTATTGCCACCTTTAGTAGGTAGAATTATATATTAGTAATCACTCGGTATTGCAAGGACCGTAAAATCCCGAAAACTAAAATATAAGTTAAAACTTGCATTTTCCCACAAAACAACTGAAAATCTGCGGATACACCAAAATAGGTAGGTAGAATTATGCATTATTATAGACAGCAAAAATCCCAAAAACTGTAAGATAAATTAAAACTTGTATTTTCCTACAAAAAAAACAAAACCAACTGAAAATCCGCGAATACACCTATATAGGTTAATGAAAATATTTTTTTTAGTTTTCTCATTTTTTAATGAAACGTAAAAATGTATTTTTTTTACGATATTTTCTACAGATAAAGTGCGGATCTCAAAAACAAAGAAGCATTAAATCAGGATAAAAAAATAAGACATTGTGATTTTAAATACTTTTATTTATACAATATATATTTATAATTTATTTAACATCAGAAATAAAAATAATATACAATATTATTGCCACCTTTAGTAGGTAGAATTATATATTAGTAATCACTCGGTATTGCAAGGACCGTAAAATCCCGAAAACTAAAATATAAGTTAAAACTTGCATTTTCCCACAAAACAACTGAAAATCTGCGGATACACCAAAATAGGTAACCAAAAATAAAACATTTTTTTCGTTTTCTCATTTTTTATTTTTATCACCTGATAATCTTTCTTAATATTAAGATTGGAAGACGGAGCCTAAAAACAGAGAGTATATATATTTTTATAGAAGTATATAAAATATGTGTGAAACAATTAACAAGATTTTGCTTTCTTTCAACCACGTAAAATATGTATTTTAAAAACCGCACAATTTGTTAATCGTTTCGCTTTGGCACACATAAAATAGTAAAACATAGGTGCAAGTCTTTCGGTTAAAACTTTGCCCATCAGGGTTGAGTAAAAATTAAATTTGGAAAAATATTTGTCATGTTTTCGTGATAGACTTTACACTTAACCCGGGCGAAGAGAAAACCAATAGCTCGCACAAAACAAAAGCAGCGAATTCGGCCAAGCACATGAGTGTTTAAAATGAAACATAAAAAAAAAACGCACATAGATATTGCTATAGAATTTGTTGACAACAAACCGATTGCGATATGGAAGTCGAAATTACTTACACAACTTTGGAGAATATCGAAAATAATTTTTTCCTATATACAGCGAGATATAATTGTAAAACAACGATTCTCTAGTTGTTCGATTTAATAATTTAAAATCTACCGATTGTTTTAAACAATGCCCTTCCCCGAACTCAATTCATCAAGTATGATAACACAGCCTTCATACATTTCAAAATAACTATTCGTTCGAATGCGATGGCAAAGATACTGGTTTTGTAATGATAAATGCTAAGTAATAATTGTTGTAGAACTAATCAAAATCCAATATCTTCTACCTTCCACTTCAGATGATGAAAACTCATAGAAAATAAATTTCAGTCGTCAGTCAATGAGCATGAGACTGTATAGGATTTTCGGCTCATTTTTTATTTAACATGAGTAGAGCATGTAGCCGGACAAATAGGTACTACAGGGTGGCAATTGGAAACTTCTTTTATGCTTGACAAGCCTTGACTCGTTCCACTTTGATCTTAAATAAGTAAAGGGAAGAAGGGGAACCAGACATAATTAAAAATGAAGTGACCAGACCAACTGTTAACTGATAGAGGAGGACCACTTACAAATCGAAAAGGAATAACACTAAATGATTGGTTGCTATCAACCTTCATAACCCTTCAGTCAGAATGTCAGAAAGATGTCAGAATACTCAGTTTGCATTTCGTGAAAGTCTAGGAACAAGTCCTGTCGCAAAGATGCCTAGCCATCGATCAAGACATACACGCCTGCTTTATAGATTATAATTTGCTAGAGCGAGACTTCACTTTTTTATATAAACGTTAGGAAAAACAAGGAAAACCTCAGAGACATAAAAATCATCTCAAACCTATACTACGGGCAAAGGATAGCAATGACATTAGATGAAGTAGAAATACGCAGAGGTGCTCTAATCCTCGTTGATCTCTATTGGGAGGACATAGTAAAGAGTTGATCAGGCATATGTGAAATGGAACCCTGGATGTTGGACAGAGCCGACCTGAAGAGGCAAGAGGCATTAAGTGATGAGATGCATGCATAAGTTGTAGCAACTATTAAGAAGAAGAAAACTGCTGTATTATTTAGAAAAGAAATCTGTAGGAAATGGTTGTGATGCAGTAAGAACGAAATGATAATAATAAGAACCTTCGAAACGGGACAGCACTTAAAGGAGAGGAACCATTTACCAACCAACATAGGCGTAAACAATTGTCAATTCGACAGTTTTCAGATGTAGTATTTTTACGGCAGTATTTTCTCAATTCCCAAATGACTGTTGTTTAGAAAGAAGTAAAGTGTATGAAAGATTCCCTTTTTGTCTTTGAGAAATATTTAATGGTAAAAATCGCACAAATCCGCACCACCGACTGAGCTATAATTTTTTAATAATGGATAGTTTTGAATATTGCCGATAACATTTTCATTTATGAAAATATCTGAAAAACATTTTTAGGCCAAGTTTCTGCGCAAAATGCAGCGGCGTTCTCAGATTTTTTCTGTAGTAAGTCGTGTATACAGGTGTTTCAAAACTTAAGGGTAGTTGGTTTATCGCGCGATAAATATGGCGGATCAATAATGTTTTTATTTTTCATCTTAAAAAGGAAAATAGACACAACAATAAAAACTATTACGGAAATGAGTGGAGGAGATTGAGTTACGCAATGATATGGAAAAAATAAATTTTAATACACAGGTTTATTAGAAACTTTTCCATAAAACTAAAAAAACTATTATTGAATAAAACATTTATAATTGAACAATTAAATGAGTAGATAATAAATTTTCGATTAAACTAGTCGTATACCAGTTTTTTTTTAAACACCCTATATAGGTCTCAGATTTTTTTTCAGGCATTAATTAAATTAGGTTATTATTAGGTGAACGTAGTTTTCTTTTAAATGAAGAATAAAGGATAATGTCTTTAATTGAAATTGACACCTACATACACACAACCTGTTAAAAACATTTAATTATGACCACCCGGTACACACATTTTTGGACCAACAGATTTACAGCTGTAAACTCGGTGGCTGACGACTAAATTTCGTTACAGGAAAGAATACACATGAAGCATAGGCGTGGAAAAATAGGTTTATATACAGAAATCTGACATATCCCTTATCATACCGTCCTTTTTGCTCTGTCACAAATTTTCTATTTTCTAATAGTTTCCACTATTGACTGTAAGATTTTTTTTATAAATACACCGAGTTTAGAATTTGCAAAAATTTAACTACGTCCTAAATATGTATTATCATGCATTAGTCAAAACGCTAAAAAAAGATACAATCTCAATTAACACTCATATTTAGAATTAATTTTCAAGGTCCGTGAAACTATATAGACACGTAGTGTCCGGGGTATAATAATAATTAAATTAAGAGAAATTAAGCCAGTGATTATGCACTATTGACGAAACTTCAGCAAGTTTAAAACCGTTTCAACAGTGACCTGGTCAATAATAGCGTTTCCAATGTACATTATTTATGCATCTACGAGTTTTCAAAAAGTTTCAAAAGTGTTAAAACTATCAAAGCTCTTTTTTTTAAATATTAGTCTGTTTTTGAATAAAGTTGTTGATAAAACTGTAAAGTCGTAGCATAAGAGTGGCAGTCCTTGTTAAAACAAAACAGGAATCTCAGGAAGGGAAGAAGTATACAGGATCACATATTCACAGTAAAACACATAATGCAAAAGGCAATAGATCAAAATAATGAAATACATTTGGGCTTCAATGATTTGGGCAAAATACCAAGAGGGCCATTTACAACCAAAGAAGGATTAAGACACCTTTTTCACCAGAAAGAATAAAGAACTATAGAACAACCGGAAGGAACTATAAACCCTTGTTAGCATTACACTATTGTGCTGGGTGATTACAATTAATATTCTACATTTATACTTTTAATATCATCTTGAGTATGACTGGTTTAATGCTCAAGTACAAATTTGAGTGACTATTCAACAAAAAACAAAATTCCAGTTAAAGGAGTCAAAAAAGTGGAGAAAATTAGAAACACGGGAACAAGAAAAGACCTTGAGGTACTAGTCCATCTGGCTAAGTACCGTTTAAAACGAACAATACATGAAAATAATTTATAATAACAGTCAAAGATCCAATAGATTTATTTTTCTAGATCAGGGGTATATCGTCTGAATTGTAATGCAGTTTATGGTTCATGGGACTCGAATTTAGTTTCGTGAGCAGACATTAATTTTTAATCAGTTTAACTGCGGTGGAACCTTGTTAACATTTTTTTATATATTTTTTTTTATTAGCACTCTAATTTGTGCCTGTGTCTGACGTATTGCTAAATTTATTTAAATTATTTTATTCTTTTAAAAATTATCTTTATAAATAATTAAATAAATAATTATAACCAGGTCTCTTTGAGAAAGTTTTTGATATCTAAATCCTAAGGTTCTTTAAATAATTTAAGTTTTGTCAAAAAGCAATCCAATTTTAATTACCCAAATATGCCAAATTTACGGTGGTGTAACAATAGACTATATATTCTATATCTCAAATATAAAAAACTTCAAATCTTATGCATCATTAATTTCTTCTGAAAGATTTTCTTTTAGTTCTGCCACTGTATAATTACTTCCATTTTTCAACGCCCTCTTTTTTAAGTTCGCCACAAAAAGAATCCGTTGCCGTCTGATCAGGACGCTAATAACCTAAAATATTTCCTAAATCGTTCGGAAATCACACATACCTTGGTTTCAAATTCCAAAAAACAATTTAAAAGTTCTGTTAAATACAACTTTAATAGGTTATATTTTCACAAAATTCAAATGATTTCAAAAACGTTATGGTTTATGTATAGAGGGGCTTTCGAGTCTTATGACTTGAGTAGGTTTCAAGGGCCAAATCTAGATGTAGATATCTACTTCCAACAGATGACATCAGTCACACATTCCTGTGCATAGTATAATAATTAAACAACCCCAAGTAATTTCCCCCTGATGTATAACATTATGTTTTGGCTACTAAAAACTATGCCATTTTCACTGGATAAAAATCCATTTAAAATTTCTCTAAACATAAGTTGGAACCACGCATATTGACCAGGATCAAATGTTTACTTTCGAGCAACGTTTCACTTTCAAAAAAATCCGATGTTCATCATTAGTGCATAAAAAAACCATGCCCCAAACCGGGCAGCTTAAAATATTTTACATCTAGACATTTTTTCACATTTTATTGCTTTACATTTCAGTTGTTTTTTAGTCCAATGAGAAAGGACAGAACGCAGTAGGATTCTGACCTTTTGGCGGCTGGTTTTCGATTGTTTAAAGCAAAATAAGATTACTGACTTCTGTCGCTGCAGTTAAGAGAAGATAATCACATTGATCCAACTTTGATCTTATCAATCTACTAGACAATATGAAACTGTATTTGAATGGACTCTTTCCGGCTAAAATTATATACATTTATAAGTATATATGAAATAAATATTTCAACAAGTATGTATACAGGATGACCCGTTTGTTATGGGACGGCGATACATTATTACAGAATCTGTTAAAAATATCAAAAAACATACAGGAAAAAATGTTTAGATTGATTTATACTTTTACGGGAATACATTATTATAGATACATAGTATTTGTATTTTCGTGGACAAGAAAGAATTTTACTGTTTTGAACAGAACACCCTGTTTATATATTTTTTATTAATGTTTAAAAAATTCTAGATATATTTTAAATTTCATGTCAAAAGCGGAGTTTTATTACATATTCAGTGGTCTGTGTTAATATTTTAAAAATAAAAAAAAACATTTACAATGTTTTTTTTAAGAATGGATTTTTTTATAATTTTATCGTAATTTTGTACAAGATAACGACATAAAATGGCAAAAAAAACAATCCAGCACTGGCAGTTTTGTGGCAGCTTACATATTTTATTTTATTTACAAAAAAATATATCTAAATTCAAAAAACCTTGTTCTAAATAATGGAGAAAATACTCAATAGTCAATAGCACAAACCAAAAAGACAGTTTACTATTTGCAACATTAAGAAAAAAATATATATTTTTTTTTATAAAAATAAGTCTTTTTTGTAACATAACAAATTTAATTTGAAAACGTGACAAAGAATTTTTTCATTCAAATGTTTGAAATTAACTTTAGGACACGTTGTGTTAATTTATTTTTTTCAATGTCAACACACCACTAAAGTAGATCCCTTCTGTGAGAAAATCAACCCCAAATATATAAGAAAGGCGATCGATAGATATATATCGAAACGTCACTTTAATTCACATAGAATTCAAAATACGTCAGAAATGGTCAGATTTAATAGATAAAATATGCTTAGAAAGTTGAGAGGATTTCGAAATACCTTAATGTACACAATATATATAGCAATATAACATTTTAAAAGTATAAGTGAATCCATACAACTTTCGTGTTTACATTTTTTAATTTTCTTGACAGATTATAAGATAACGTTTCGTCCCATAACAAACCAGTAACCATGTACATAACACAGGAGTTCCCCAAACTCGCTTATTCCAAATATATGGACAATGGAAAGAGTTGGGCTGCGGCCATAGGAGGCTATGATCTCTTTGGGATATTGCAGCGTTGCCACATCTAGTAGACGCATTATTTTAAGCCCTGTATATTCTTACATTTTGCCATCTATGGCGGAATTTTTGAGATAATGGAGATTATGGAAATTTTAAGGTAAAAAAATTGCCCCCTGTAAACGAAAAAACTATAATCAGCTATACACTTTATGATATTTTTGATATCAACAGAGCGGATTTTAAAGAAAAACAAAATATTAATTGCATTACCATTTCCTCCACTAAACCTCTCAACTTTTGATAAAATGTGTGTGTCAATTAAAAAAAAATGATCAACAGAGGAAACTCCCAGGTACCAAGCTGCCGTCTTATTAACGTCCTATTTCATCATTCATTTAGATGGTTGTCTATATACACTGGACAACAAAATTGACGCTCCCCAAAATTATTTGCAATTCTATTTAGAAATTCATGTAAAAATGGAAATACTCATTTTTATTGTAAGCTGTCATAGTATATACAATCCAAATTTATAAATGGATCCCAGAGAATCGTAGGGCAAGTTTAAATTTAGTTAGAGAACACAGCGATTGGACTGATGAAGTCTGGGAAAGAGATTTTTGCTCAAGTGAAAATAGATTTTGTTTCTACAACTCACAGAACTAAGAATATATCGAAGACTAAATGAAAAATATGCCCAATGTGTTTAACAGCACATAGATGCATAAGGGAGATTCTGTAAGAACATGTGATACCACTTAGCTCTTACATTGATGAGAATTTTTTGTTTCAGCAAGATTATGTTGCCCAGGCTGGACTTTATCTTAATGAGGTTGAAATTGAAATTGGCCAGCACCCAATCCCGATCTGAACCCAATTGAGAATGTTTGGAACGTCATCCACAGGCGACTTAATAACATTGCTAACATTTTGATTGAGGTTACTCGAGATATTGTCCGAATATGGCATTATTTAGGTCAAAAAAATATAGTCATTAAAAAGTTAATATTTTTTTTCTTATCTTCTTTCGGAATTGTATATTTTGTTAATACCTTTATGAAGTTACAATAAAAATGTACTAATACATAAAACTCATTAATGGGTATCATTAAACAAAAAGTATTTCTCGAAATATAGTAAGAGGTCGTTAATTTTGCTAGCCAAGCTACTTTGAACAACTTAAAAAAAATACCTTTAAATCAATCGATTTGAAATTATATAGTTTAAATATGAAAGAAATCTTGAAAATTATTTTTCAAAATAATATTAAGATCCAAAAAAGTGAAAAAACTCACAATGTCCATTCATGTAATTTAACAGCACAATTTAATAGGTCTACAGAGAGGGTTAATTACCTTTAAAAAGAATAACAGGTGCCTTATGTCGATACAGATACTTTTTAATTTTCAAGGTATGGTACGATAATACATTTCTTATTGCCGCAATCAAATAGAGGAAGTTCAAATATGCCAAATTAGCCAAAAAAATATGCCAAAATAGCTTAAATCCCATGTACGATACCATTGAAATATAGATCACGAGTTTTCTAAAAAATCATTTAAATTACAGCTCACGCATGTTACATTAAAAATTTTAGAGTTTCTCACAGATTCTGAAAATTTCATAATATATGGTGCGCAATATCTCAAATATTTTGAAAATAGACCTCATATCCTTCATATAACTGCAAGCCATCTTTTTCTATTATCTATATACTTTTATTAGACCGTTCAGTTTGGGGAACTTTGTGTAAATTAAGGATGTTGACATTTCCGAATTTTTTACCATCATTTTACCACACATTAGATGGTATACCAGAGAGAGAGAGAGAGAGAGAGAGAGAGAGAGAGAGAAAAGTGAAATAATTCGAAAACATTTCATTAGGTATCCACTCCCAGATAACAAATTAACACCTCATTTCCGAAGAGACGACTAATTTAGGACGTAGTTATTTGACGTATTCCAACTTCTAATAAGAGGTACAAATGTTGTGCTCTATCATAAAGTTGCTTTCTGATAAGCTCGTTTAAGTTTCCTTCAGACAGACATGCCAATTTTAATATATAGGATATTATTGTGGAATAACTTCAGATTTTATGAGATATAGATATTCTAGCGCGCATACGTTACTGCGCAGCGTTGTGAGAAGAGAGTCAGGCGCCCTTTATAATATTATTTATATTATGCTTTAAATAGAACCAACTGAACCTGGGAACTGGAAGCTCCACAAAATATCTCAAATGTTTTACGTAGCTGGTATAGCGGGATTTATACAGCAAATAAAACTAAAAATCTAAATAAGAATCCGAATTCTTCTGGTATTTTGTGTTTCTTATAGGTAATTTGTTTACAACTAAATGATTTTCTGCTATATGCTGACTAACCGGATGCAGATTGAATTACAGATTGTTTAAATCGTCATAAAACAAATAGAGTTTATGGGTGATTCTGTTTTCAGTGTGATTTTTTATGTCTTGTATTGTTTGTTCTCACTAGTGATCATTTAATTTGATCAGGCACGTAATTCATTCAATTTTTATATAATATAATTTGTCATTCTGAGAGAACCTACTATTGACACTTTTCAGATTAATGTTTTAAGTTAACACTGAATTGCGGTTCGATAACTTTTGTCTCCAAAATTTAACGGATTTTGGAATTGGCCTTTATATGACTCAAGCGCCATCTACCTTGTGGTTTAGGAAGCGTCTAGTAGAATCATGTTGAAAGTACGTTATCTGAGTACTACTAACAAACATGGAGTTGATGAAATAGTGCAATTAGTTATTATGATTTATATATTTTATATATGATGTCAATACTCGTTCTTGGCGCTTTGGACTTATAGTAAAATCCTTTCAGGCTTTTTTGCTTTTACAGCAAAATCGATAAACAATTTGAGTAAAAAAATTTAAAGGTCAAGTTTTTTAAAAAAATTTAAAGTAAAAAGTAACAGAGCAGAATCTCTCATATCCAATCTGCTCTAATTTTCTCATTGCATATTTTCTATTTCTTGATTCAGATCAATCAATAATGAATGGTCTTTTTAATCAATGTTTCCATAATTGTGATGAAATATTTTAAAGTATTTAGGATATCACAGTTATAACCAACCTCCAGTGTCGAAAGTTTTGTGTTATATATATTGACGAAATACTAATTCTGATTTAAGCAAGTAAATATGTTTATAATTTTTTTAAAGATAGCAAACAGAAATCTGCGTAGTAAATACTCACCTACACTACTTATTTGCACAGAATAAAAAATTTCGGAACACACTAGGCATCTTACTAATTCGGATAACGAAATATACACAACATAACCGAAACATATTATTAGAATCCCACATAGGCTTTACGAAAATGACGACGGGGAGGAACCAAAATCTCCAAAAACAAAATGTAGGAGATTCCCAAGACCTCCTAAAATTGATGCCTAATCAGTAATAGATATTATTTTCTTGTTAATTATTGTGTATAATTTTCGACAATTTAGACATTACAAAAAATGTATTATTTTTGTTAGTGTTTATTGCCGAATTCGCAAGAAGTTTTTAAAATTATGTTGCTTACATTTCATTATTGGCAAATCCCAAAAATATATATATTTATCGTCTTTAAGACAGATTAACTCCGTCCGTTTAAGCCGTAAAAAGGACGTGTTTGGTCTGTGACTTGAGGTCGTTTCACTACTAACCAAAATTATTCCGTGATATTCGAGGTTAATATGACGAAAGCGGTTTCGTGAGTTTGAAGGGGGGTTGTGAATTACGTTATCTGGCCCTATCTCTCTCCTGAAAGTTCGGAAAAGGTCGACATCCACGCAAATGAAAAACAACAAAACAAATAAATCTCAGTCATCAAAAGTGTACAATAAAAAACAATCCTAAGATTCGTTTCCGGATATTTCTACAAAAGGCAAACAATCAAATATATTCAAATAGTTTTTTAACAATCTTCCTATAAACTACACGTCGGGCAAAATCAAACGATTATCCAACAAATCATAAACTTTATTTTCGTAGCGCGTTTTCTAATCTCAAACGAGTTAAGATCAGTAACGATTTGATGTTGCCCCCTTTTAGCTAAAAGACTTTCATATAAAGATTTCACTAAAACGTTAAAACTATTAAACTACTATCTTTATTACCTGGGCTGATTAGTGTGCTTGACCAACCCTTGCTGATTGTTCCCCGGGCGAACTTTCGGACCATTACGGTCTTTCCTTTTAGTCCTGAGAAGACGCGGCTTGAACTGTGCCTGTTTTCGTTCTTCTTCTTTTTCTTTTTTTATTGAAGGGTCGAACTCCTGTTGCTGCTGCGACAGAGTGCGCTTGCGCGTGGCGATTCCCGCCAAATTTAGCAGAGTCTCAGCGCCTTCTTTGATTTTCCGCTCTTCGTCGTCTTCGAAGTCGATTCTCCGACAGGTTCGAGTTCTGAGACGCCTAGTTCAAAATGGACGATAATAGATATTAGATTAGATTATAGATATTAATTGATATAAGGACTTCAATAGCGCATACCGCAACACTATAGAGTATGAATCGAGTTTCCCAGTGAGGTGTACTAAGGAAACCGACTGTCTCAAAAATTGGATTTCGCCCAAGAGAAAATGCTGAAAATTATTTTTTCATTGTTATCTACAATTTTAAATATTAATCATGATAAAAGTGAGTAATATTTTGGAGGAATGCAAACCAGTTTTGGTTAAGTACCAACGGGATGATTGGCGAAACGTCGGAAAGTTCGAGTCAACAAAAACCGACGCAGGGGGAATTCATAAGATTTGTAAATAATATCACAGTTAACGGTAGAAATTTCTTTAAAAAATGATAAAGTCCCGTCAGGAGCAATAATTGTGCGGATGACATCTTCATCTATATCGTAAATTGACACTCAGTATTTTGTTTGTCAATTTTAAAATCGTCAAATCAAAATATCCCGACCGTTTGGTAGGCTTCAAAACTGAATTTTTCCAACTCTCAATTGGCATGTTATTAATTACATTTTTTATCAAATTTATAACACAGATGTTCTATGGGATTAAATATCCAATGATATGAAGAAAGACGTAAAACAATATGCCCAGCCTGTTTAGCCGAATTGTCGCTAACGTACTGTTTTTTAATTGCACCCGAATTTAGGACTTCCAAAAATTGCGCTTTTTTGTAACTGAATTTCAAATTCCAAAAGAGCGTCTAGAAAAAGCTCTCAAGAAGATTCTCTACAAACATTTCGGAAATAATATGGTGAAGGAGTTCGCCTAGCTACAAAAATTGCTTTGTGATGTATGCAAGGAAGTCTTATTTTTAAATCTGACTGCAAATCGGGGGACATGAAACATTGAAAATTTTTAGAGGTGATTTATATGGGGATATTAGACTTTTTCTGAGCTACGAGCAGAAATAAAAGTTTCAGTGTTGTACCGACGGAAAGTCCCACAAAAGTTTATCGACGCATCTAATATCCTTCCAGTTATTGCTGACATGCATGAATAAGACAGGCAGGAAGATATTTTTTTTATGAGTTTTTGTTCCCCTTCTTTGCTCTTTGCGTTATGCATTTTCGTTGTTGAGTTTTTCCATAATAAACATATATTTGTTTTCTCTCATATATTTGATGAATTTTATTTTGTGAGTTCGTATGAATACGCCACTGAACCAAGTTGCCATAATCTCATTACAACCAAATAATAATATGTACCTAAATACACTGCATTTTCTGCACTTACACTTACCAAATAGAGTTTTAAATAACCAAAACTAATAAATTAATATAGCTACGGATACGGATACGGATAATTTATGATTTAATGAATAAATATTTACCTATGTTTTGTAATCCTATAATCATCGCTACGCGGCATAAAGCACAAACGGTTTAGTATTCTATGGATATTTTGTCGGCCGAATCGGCTAGACGTTCGGGAAATCAACTTACTTATCTTCGTCACTCTCAAAGGCCTCGTCTTCATTGTTATCGCTATCGGCCGCGCTATACGTGTGATCCTGACTAGGTGATGTCGTGATAACTTGTAGCGGTTGCACTTTTTTTTTGCTGCTGTCGAGTCGGACGCCATTTTTCAAGCTTAACATTACGGCGGCGGCGTCCACTTCGTCCAACGATTCCTCCTAACGGGAAGAAAATACCAGTTTATCCGTCCACCGACAACTAACTTTTTTTTTTGTTTTATAATGATATAATGATATAAATCCTTAGTGCAGTGGTGAAGAAATTTTTTTTAAGGCGGGCCATTTGTAATAACTAGACGATCGTAGCGGGCCAAAGAATAATGCTTAATCGTTAAAAAAAATATGTGTTTTATAAACATACACATACATTATTACATAGACTTATTATTTTAATAGTAAAAAAGCAAAAGGTATGAAAATTATAAGCACAAGATATAAAATCAATTTAGTGTAGTTCTTGATGTGAAGTATTATCACTTTATTTTCTGGTGTCATCACTGGTTGATGGTGCATGAGAAAAATGAAATTGAGACTTTATCAGAATTTCATCATAGTCCAGTTCCATTTGCGAAGCAGAAATTCTTAAAACTGATAAAAGGTGCTCATCTGTAATTCTGTTTCTTAAAGAAGTTTTCCTAAGCTTCATTGTTGAAAAGATTTGTTCGCATATATAAGATGAGCCGAACATTGTCATTATCTTCATTGCATCAGTAATTAGAATTGAGAAATTATCTGGACTTAAATTTTTATAAAATTCTAGTAATGAGTATGAGAAGTTTGTTTCAGGAGAGTATTATAGTTCAGTTCTCTTTTCTGATTTTTCCCTTGCAATTTGAGATTAAGTTTATTCATGTGTACGAGGAGGTCTGTGAAAAAAGCGAAATCAGAAAACCACGTTTCGTTTTCTAAGAGGTCAAATTGATTATAAATGTCTTTATCAAGAAGAAAATTCACAATATCATCTTTTAAATCCCAACTTCTTTCAAATACTTTTCCAGAACTTAACCAACGAACTTTTGAATAATACAGGATATCGGAATGCTCAGCATGTACGGACTCCAAAAACTGTTGAAACTTAGAGAATGACCGTGAAGACATACCGCTGCTTTTCGATCGATCCGGCGACATGGTGTTATTCTCAGGTTATACGCCGAGAATTATATATATTATTTACATATTTATATATATTATTTACGTATATATTTGATTAGAGTAGAGGTGTGTTTGTATTTAATCTACGCCAGTTTGTATTTGTGCGATAATAATGGGAGCAATACAAAAACAATATGATTTGATATCGTGTTTGGGTACCTACAATCCGTAAAACTTATTATTCGTCTACTAAACACAAGATAACAAGAGCAAGCGACCGGATCAAGACTAAAATTAAAATTTAAACCATGAAGGCGAACGTTGCCGTTCTGTAATGGCTTCTCTATGCTACAGTCCGACTGGCGCATAGTCTAACGAGCGAATTGACGTCACAACCGGCCACAGCCAATGACAGCGCGTTTCAAAGAGGATTTAAATTTTTCAATTTTTAATTGCTTATATTTGTTACATAGAACTACGACTATTTTTGTGAACTTGTGGTTCTTTTAATAGTATAATCCTACTTTCATAAGCAATATTTTTCAAATTAAAATTTTGTTCAAGTTCCCTATTGTTGGAGAAACGTTTTCGATACTTTCATAAATAGAGAATCTTAATTAATGTATTTATTTGTACAAAGTGGTCCATTTAAGATTCTCCTACCCATACCTTATGAGTACGACACTCAGGACGAAAAGTTGACACTAAGCGTATTTCATTTATAGTATTTTTATGTTCCGTTGTATCAGGACAGTAACCAACCTTATTTTTTTAAATGGAATGCTAAGAATATATTTAAAAACTCCATTAATTCGCTTGATTTTGAGTATTTTTTGTCGTACATAGCATAGGAAATTTTGACATGTTTACGGGGGGTTGGATTGGTTGGATATTGATTTTATTGTTGTTGATTTTATAAAAAAATAGTTAGAATAGGATATTATATAGGTTTAGTTAGATTTAAAATAAAATACACTAGTTGTTACAGAAAACTGGCCATAACTTCTAAGCTCCCAATTGTAAGGATACATAATTAAATCCCGAACCCAATAAAAGTGCTAAATTAGTCCAATGTCCAATTCAGATAAGTTTCAATAAGTTTTGAATCAATTGCAGTTGTTTTCCTTCAGTCTGCTTCTCACTGTCCACTGACTGACTAATATCATCAAGCAACACAATTAAACGCAATTCAAGTGATTAAAATCGAATAGTGTGAAAATTCCAGTTGCAAAGGCAATTAATTTAAGTCTATAACAAGTCTGTTACTATCACTATAACTACTGCATGAACACGTTTCATTTCTTTAACCGCATATAAAAGATCAGCACCCTTGACAAATTTAAACTCATATTCAAGCATATTAAACTGTCTTCCAAATAGCATGGGTCAGATGAAGAGTTTTGGTTAGTTTTTATTTACAGTCGGCCGATTTCTATGCACGCAAGTTTATAATAGTATGACTTTCTGCTACTGTAATTATCTGTAATTCGCGGTATAGGTCAAGTGTTTTGGTATTTATTGAACTTTTAACCAAACTTGTTCTTTTTATTAAGTTTCAAAAGCTGTTTTTTATCAATCCCTTATAAATATCCATTAAAGTCTTTTCATAGATATAAGAAAGTGACCAACCGATACGAATTAAGGAAAGACCCGGGCAAGCTGTAAGAATGAAATATGACCGAACAGGTAGGTACTTTGCTTAGAATTAAATTATTTGGGGTTTTGTTAGGAAAGATACTAAACAATATTTATTTATTTATTTATGTATTTATGTTTAAATCTAAAATAAAATTAAAAATTATATTTATTACCTACTTAAATTACTTAAAATTATTCACATAATATATCACTAACACTATCGCTATCATCGCCTGTTCTAATTATTATTTGTTCTATATTACTTGCAATATGGATATACGATTGTTCTGCTTTTTCTATATGTTTAACAGAATTTGCCCAACTTTGTGGAGGGATGTTAAAAACTTCGGTTTCTATAAGTTTGAGAACATTGGAGTTAACAGGGGAAAAACATTGTTACGACAAATGGCAGATTTTGTAGGTTCAAGCTTTGTAGAACCTCAATGAATTGCTTTTCGGTATAATCTTCGTGAAAATAAATGTCGTTATTATACATGTAGTTTTATATTGTTGCTTTTGTGTCACACGAGGTAGGGGTTTTAGTCAACTGTCTACTGTGATAGTTTGTTTTTAAACCAATTTTCAAATTAATCCGTGATGGTGTCTTCATGGTAATCCAGAGAAGAATCTTTAATATTTTTTGCAGACAGAGAAAGTCCATTTGGAATCCAAACATCTTTAAAGCCAGCATGCAAAATAGTTTTTCTTTTACCTCTTTTTGATCGCGCCTTTGTTTTACACTTATCAGTTGAGTCAACCCAACCCTTTTCCGGGGTTATCATAAGTGTCGAACCAGGTTTCATCCAATTAAATAATTGGCATTCGTTGTTCTTTGCAAATTCTAATTTTTTCTAGACATTCCAGTCGCCATAAGGTAGTTCTGCACATATTTAACACCGGTTTCATCTTTTTCAAGCCTCCTAATTAACATATCTAATGTAAGCACGCTTTGTTCCTGGTATAACTGGTAAATTTTACACCGTATTATATCTTGATCACTTTCATCTACACTCGAGAAAATGTTTTCCTCGCTGAAATGGGATTAGTCACAATTTTCCATACAGTTGATGTTGGAATTTTCGTCAATGTGGTCGTTTCTTCTGAAGATGCTTGCTTGCTGGCACCACGTTCAATGAGAATCAAATAAACATTGTTTATAATTTCCTTAGTCTCAATAGAATAGTGTTTTCCACATTTGGGCGAGAGCATCTCCTAAGATACACTAGACTCGCACACATTTTGCATAATTCGCACACGATTCAACACACGCTGTATTACACACGCAATAAGAATGATTACTAATAAACTTAAACTAAGTAGTATACCAAACCAAAGAATATTAAACACAGGTAGGTATAAAATTATTTTCTATTACGGACCACGATTTTACCTGAATTTAAATTCCGAAACTTTAGGTAATAATCTCGTTGCATTGTATGTTAATGACAACCTTTGGATAATCCCATTCAAAAGCAATTGGTCACTTTCTTATATCTATGAACAGACCATACCTCACTCAGCTGCGAAAAATGTTTTTATATTTACCTGTTCGATTTTGAATCCTTCGATTTTGATCTGGTCCCCGTTTAGGGCGGTCCTTTCCTTCGCGGCCAATTTTTTACTCAGAAACGGAAACAACTCTGGATTGGGCAGGCTCGATACGCGATAATTGGCAGGCTTCTCTGGGGGTGTGGAAGACTGCTGAATCGACTGCGGCGAATCGAACACAGAGCAAGGATAAAACGGTGATCGATTCAAAGCCTGAATCAGGTTGGGCTTGTATTGGGGATCGACGGTCCAGAGGGAGCCCTTACCGAGGTTCTTAAAGTAGACGAGACGGAATTACAATGAGAACTACCTTTATTTCCGTTAGCAACATCAAATCAACAAAAGTCTAATAAGACTTTAGGGACTAATAGAAAAACAATGCCTTCTTGTTTCTTTGAATTAATTTTTGAGATGTCAAATTTATTATTTTAAAAATAGGTACATTAAATGACATTAAAAAAATTGAAATTGCTGCCCCACATTAACAGGATATTAGCGGGAAATCCCAGAAAGTAAAATATTGTTTCTCGGATTCCCAAATATGTGTCTTGAAGAAACCCCATTTATCGTTTAATTGCGTTTGTTGTAGACAGTCATTTCGTTAGGTTAGTGAGCATTGTATGGTTAAATTTCTTTTTAAAATGAAAATATGAAATTATTTCAAAATATAATCTCTTAAGAGTGGACAAGTTAGCATTGGAAAATGGCCATGCCGTTTTGAGGCTTCCGCCTTATCATTGCCAATTTAATGCGATAGGGACGGTTTGGTCAGATTGTAGTACAGATGCTGTACTGCAAAATAAATAAGAACTAACGATCAATTAGATTTAAATACCTCTCCTTTATTGAACTTAAATTCTCACAACATTAATTAAGGTGTTATTGTCATTTTTCGGTATATATAGTGGCAAGTAGTTTGTAAATATTACATTTGATAAAGACGTCGAAACAATTGTCATGTGAAAATATATAATTTCGTGAAAATCTGAACTTTTAGTTCTTATTTATTTTGTTAAACGGATTTTCATCAAGTAAAAGCCACCTCAGTTCAATGCTGTATTACGTTTATGTTTTGAAGCACTAGCTCAAGTATAATAATAATAATACTTCTGATGAAATATTCATAACGCTTTGATCCAGGTTTCACCCTCAAAATGGAAGAAATATTGTATGCACACAGACCGCCTCATAAGTGAAGCTTGGGAAAGGGAAAAGTTGATTGATGCATTTAATATTCTCCCAGTTGTTGCTTGCATGCATAAATCAGACTGGGAAGAAGATATTTATAATGACTAGTTTTTGTTTCCCTTCTTTGAACTTTGTGTCCTGGGTTTCCGTTATTTTTGTTGTCGAAACATTGGAAGTTTTTCAAAAATAAGCCTATCCAACCAAATTGTCACAATTCCATTATAACAAAATAATATTATACACCTAAGGACGATTGCATTTTTTATAAATGAAATTAGTTAAAATCCGAACGCATCTCGATATGGTAGCATTTTTGGTTACATCACAATACACAATACAATCACAGTTACGTAATTTGCTGCAAAAAGTTAGTGACCAAAATATACATGATAATACGTAGCCGTGTTATTGAATTTCTCATCATTCTCATATTTTGGGTTAACATTATCCGGTTATAATCGTAGCATATTGTTTGACAACTAAAACATATTAGGAAAATGGACAAGTTCGCATAAAAAAAACATCATAATAACCTAATATGCACTTGACACGGCTCTTATGCCTTATAGGTTAAGTTTGTTATTAGGGGAGGGGGATGGGGGGGATAATGCGATCACGGACTTACGGGAGCCTTTTCCACCTTCTGGAAGCACTTGTTCAATGACAGGTTGTGCCTGACGCTGTTCTTCCATCCAGTCGGGGCATTCCTGAAGTAAGGGAAGTGGTCCAAGATCCAGGCATATATCTCTTTCACGGGCAACGCCTTCTGCACTGAATCCTCAATCGCCATAAATATAAGGCATGAGAATGAATAAGGCGGCTTATTGTTCGTGTGCACCAGAGGATCGTAGGGCACATTATGGGGATGACGTGATCTTTGGCTTCCGTTCTGGAAACGACAGTTCAAATTTACATTTCGCGCTATAGTTCACCAAGGGCTTGGAGGGCCCGATTTTTCGAGTAATGAAGGATGAAGAAACCCCGTAACCACTTATTAATGTTACCATATACGACGGTCACTTGAAAAGTTTACTATCTCGCTCTGAAGATGGCGGCACTAGTCACTAATGATCGTAGTTGTGTACCTCTTGAGAGTCGTTTCAGTACGTCGACGATGTTAGTGTTTTCGTGAAAATCAAAAAAATTGAGTATAGAGCTGTTATAAAATATTTGTTTTTGAAGGGCAATAACGCCTACGCGTATTAAAGTTGGGTTGGGGAAATTTTGGGCTGCTGAATTTAAACGTGTTCATCCAATGGGGCGTTAAACGACCTACGAATTAAAGCCGGAGAGATACCGAAAAATCCTGTTTAACCAAGACAAGACGCCCTCAGCTGTTGCATGACGAAAATCTAGGAATTACGGTTTGAACTGCTTGACCAAGCACCCCTGGGGCACCCTCACTGCAGCCGACAATAGAGGCCACCTGCAGCCGATCTGTCAAATAATCCCCCATCAAACCAACAGACGATGGGTGAAAACCGTAGTAGCCGGATTTAGTAAATCATCCACGATTGCAGTGCTAAAGTTCAATCTAAAGCCAGACTGAGCACTAGAAATTATTTATTTTGAAAAACATAATCGGAGATTTGTTCCTTCATAAGACTTTGAAAAAGACATACCTCAAGTGGGAAAAGTCTAGGAGTAGAAACTTTCGGCAAAGGTAGAACAATAGCTAACTTCCATGCTCTTGGAAACTTGCTCGAAAGTATAGAGAAAATAAGAATGTGGATGATATGATCTATTAAATAGTATCAGGGAGACATAATCTGAACCAACAGCGTTGCTCTTTAACGAAATTAGAATAACAGTTCGCTTGGTAACTGTTTTAAATTTGAAATTTAGAATTTGAGTGATTTTTTGTGACTTATATTTCTCAAGCAGCCTGCTGCTGAGAAATTTTGACTGTGGTGGAGGTACTAATAAAATACTGTTAATAGAATAAAGATCAGTGAAGTGGTCAGGCAAAGTAGTACCAATCGAATTGCGCAACTGTTACTGTGAGGCAAGACTTGTTGGATATACCTCTTTTTTTCCTCTATTCATAATTATCAGTAAGACTCTAGATGTGATCCCAATCCACTCAAAAGCTCCAAGAAGACAGTCTCATCTAAGTGCACAATCAGGTCGATCAGTGTTTGAGAATTACCTGTTATCCTGGTGGGATCAGTAATAATTGGGAGCAAACCCAAAGGACTCCAGAAAATTAGCAAAGTGTGCCGCAGAAAATTTATCAGAAAACAGGTTAATATTTAAGTCGCCTAAAGCTATTATTGTGTCGCCGTCTGGTAGCAGAGTACAAAAAGTACCCTCAAGCTCATCCAGTGTTACACAAACGTTAGACCTAGGTGGACGGTAAACACCAATAACGAAGCGTTTACCGAACATTACAACGGATACCCAAGGTATATCAAGCTTCCCAAACGTCGTTTGTATACATGGAAAGCACCAAATTACATCATTCACAATCAAATAGATTTCATTGCTATTAAAAAAAAAACGATACAGAAATTCAGTCACCTCAGTAAAAACTTATCCCGGAGCTGACCATACTCTTCTAATCGCTAAGATTTCATGCCGGCTTAAAAAGATCGGTAAATTAGATACCACGAAAACACCAGATCTGAACAAATTGAAAGATCAGACGACCAGAGAAGAAGTGATGGATATGCTAAATAAAGCCATAGAAACTGTACCACAAGAATCTCTAACCTCAATAGATGGATGGTAGATAGTATGGATGATAGAGGAAATTCGGAATCTAATGATAGACAGAAGACAACAGAAGTGAGGATGGCTACTAAAAACTTAATTCAGAAATATAAAGGAAAATTAGACATGCGAAAACTGTGTACTTCTCCAACGAAAGTGCAAAAGATTCAAGAATATGAAAGAAGACATGATGACTTTAGCCTACATAAGAAAGTCAAAGCAATTACAGGACAAAAGCCCAACAGTGTTGTTACAATAATGGAGCTTAATCGTAGAAACAGAGGAAAAACTAAAAAGATGGGTAGGGTATATTGATAATGAGATACCAAAAACATTGGGATAGAAAGCATTATTGGTTAAGCTGTTTCATTTAATATACGAGAAAGCAGATATACGAGGGCGGCGCCAAAATTTCCCGGCCTGAATATGAAAGAAACAAAGTAGAGTAACAATTTTTTTATTATTTTTCAATATAATCCCTCTTAACTTCAATACACTTACTAGATCTCTATTAACAACTCAATCCCTTTAAAAAAATATTCTTTTGGTTTGTCAGCAAAATGAGCTAAAACAGCCACTTTTCACTCAACTTCGTCGTTAAACCGCCGTCCATGAAAGTCCTTTTTCAAATATCCAAACAAATAATAGTCGCTGGGGGCCATATTTGGATTATAGGGAGGATGATCTGTCTGTTGGAACCCCCACTCTAAAATGGCAGCTTTTGCAAACCAGCAGTATGGACAGGTGCATTATCGTGCAAAAGACGCAGTCAGTTTTCCGCGACGTTTTGACGTTTGACATTGACAGTGGCATTAGTTTCTTTACTCTCTCCATTGATTCTTTTTTCGATACAGGGTCGTAATAGAGAACCATAGTTTGATCTCCCGTCACAATAGTTTCTATCACAGGCTTCGGTTCCGACCTACAGAGTTCCAAAAAAAACCGCGCACACTCGACACGGCGTTGTTTTTGAATAACCGAAAGATTTTGAGGAACCCATCTTGCACTAACCTTATGCATACCTAAATGATCATGCAGGATTCAACGAACCTTTGTATCAGAAAGCTTAGTAATTTCTGAGATTTCCTTGACCTTTAAACGTCGATCACTCAATACCACCTCTTCCACAATCGCAACAATATCTTCCGTTATGACCTCCACTGGTCGACCAGTTCTTGAATCATCTTCCAGGGACTCCTGCCCCATTCGAAAACGTTTTGCCCATTTTTTGACTACAGAATATGAAGGAGAACTTTGGCCGCACACACCATCCAGGCTTTCTTTAATAATATTAGCTGCTAACCCTTCTTTTGTCAAAAACGTTATGACTGCTCTATACTCAATCTGCGTTATTTGCGACATTTTTTTGGACACGCCTTGTTTAAAATGCTGTCAATAAAAAACTATTCATTTTTTTTCGCAGCCTACTAAGATATATATTTAAAAGAAGACAAAGTTTTATCGTGATACTGGAGCTGCATATATGTGACTGGTTGAAGTCGACATTTATCCCGATTTCTAAATCAGCAAAGGCTAAAAATTGAAATGAACAACGCATCATAAGTCTGATGAGTCATGCCTTAAAATTGTGTGCAACAAGAAAAAATGATTAGAATACTAAAAACCACATGAATTGATGACAAAGACTTGAGAATCATTGCCAACCTCTACTGGCATCAAAAGGCGTATGTGAAAATAGGAAATATGACTGAAAGCGTCTTAATTGAAAGAGGGGTAAGACAGGGTTGCATTCTGTCACCATTGCGTTTCAATTTACACCCTCAGATAGTACTCCAAGAAACTTTAGAAAATATCGAAGAAGTAATAAAAATAAATAAACAACTTAAGATATGCAGATGATTCCGTTCTACTGCCAGATAATATTAAATAACTTCAAACACTCCTAGATCAGGTGGTAGTTATGGCTGTAACTAAAGAGTCGAATATACATGCAGAATTGTGGATCTGTCAAAGTAAACTTGAAGGGGTCAAGAGGATTAAATATCTGTTATTAAGCGACTGTTCACTGGAAATAAAATCCAGAATTGAAAATGCAAGAGCAAGGTTCATACGTATGACGACACGAACTTAAAATTGATCTCAGAATGTGAATGGTCCTATGTTACGTGTTCTTAATCCTGTTGTATGGAGTAGACTCTCACGGAGACTACGTAAAAAAGCTGGAACCTTTTAAAATGTGGATGTACATGCGCATGTTGAGGATAAGTTGAATGGATCGGGTCACTCACATAGTCATGAACAGAATATATTATGCGACATCCTGAAACATGCCACATCCAGCATTTGATCATTCATGGCAAGATTGAGGGCAAGACGAGGCGGAGGAAGAAGAAGAACATCTTGGCAGTCGTTCAACTAATACGCCGTTTAGGACACAGTCCACAATAACGAGGTTTTATTACTCTACACCGCGCGCCATTTTGTTGGTACCTGATTGTAGCTGCCATTGGCCGTTTTGCTTTGCGTCTGATGATAGCCCGGACTCGATGAATTCACCGAACTGCACGTGGAAGACTCCGGCGTAGAAATGGAAGATTCGTCCACGTAATCACTCGTAGGGGATAAATCTGACAAAACAGACGTTCCGTTTTTTATTGGTGTGGAATTTGTGCTGTTGAGTGGGGAAGTGTTGATGTTCATGCCTGCGAACGTTTACGTATGGTTATAACCATTTTATCTCGAGTACATCTTACAGGTTGCAACCATATAGCTATTAGTTATATAGAGGCCCGCCCACGCCAATGATGCAGGAATTTTTGAAGCGACGATGAAATAAAATCCAGATAAATCTTGGTCTCGACCACAAACTACGATTTAAAAACCATATAACGTCAACACTTAGGGTCGGATAATTTGCTCTAAAACTAATACTTGCACGTAGTCACTATTTAAATAGCAATATCAAAGAGATTGAATTGAAATTTTAAACAAATGTACATAAAAATATAAGTATTAATAGTAAATTTAACAAATAACAATAATACTTAACTACTTAACTATACAATGGCATAACGACAAAGAATGCAAAATTTGTAGTACACATCTGGCTCAAGTTCAGATACATGTTTTTCAATTTTTTTAGAAAAATCTGCACATTGGGTGAGTTTTTAATATCGGAAGACAGCGCATTGAATAGTCTCAGGCCATCACTGAAAATACTTTTTTGCATATGTGTTGTTCTGGTTAACTGAATATCGAAGTTGTTTTTAGATCTGATATTATAAGCATGTTTCATGCACCTTGGAATTAAATATTCCTGTAAGTATGGGGGTAGCAATTGCTGTTGGATCTTGAAAATCAATACAATGTTAGATATTTCAATGGTCTGGGACATAAAGGGCCAACTAAGCGATTCAAGCATAAGACGCACAGGAGTGTAACGGGAACAACATGAACTACTTCTCATTGCTTTGTTTTGAAAGATTTGTAGTCTTTGTACGTCTGACAAGATATTAGAAGTGAATTGCAATAAGCAAAATGTAGGTATACTGTAGTATTGAATATAAGAAGTCGAGTCCAATGGCTAAGATTTTGAGAGACTCTTCTGAGAAAACCTATCTTCTTGCCAATCTTTGCACACATGAAATCAACGCCTAAATATTTCATTTGATTAGTATGCTCCTCTGGCTGATTATCAATGTATATTGGATAATTACTTTCCAGGAATAATTTGCAGTTGTATTTAGTACCAAATATCATGTATTTAGTCTTAGTTACGTTTAATATTAATTTATTGATGCAAAGCCAGTTGTGCAAAAGGCTGAGTCGAAATTTATTGTTTCAGCAAGTTGATTGAAATTCTTTCTGGATACTGATAGAAGTGTGTCATCCGCGAAAAAACTCACAAAAAAATTGATGAAAATGCTGTTCGAATCTGTAGTTTTGTCACCACTTATTTTTTTTGACAATGTTTATGGTCCTTGCTTGGATGCTTTTGAAATGCAACCCATTCAAAAACTTCAAAATTCCTGCTTGGGCCTTATATTTGGCATCCGTCGTAAGGAACATAACATAAATTTTAGTAATTCCACCATACACACAAAGAACTCTTTAAGCATTTCTTCTCCTATTGCATAGCATCTTATATCAATAAATTTTCCATAAATGATTACTTGTCTTCTCGTTTAAATACAAATTAAAGCTGGAACTATTTAGTCCCGTTATTATACTAGGAATAGGGCGTATTATAATAGTTCAATCTATTTAAATTATGTACCGTGCGTGCAATTTATCATGAAAACATTTTAATTGGCAGTAACTTTGTTGTCTTTATAGATATCAAGGTAAACAAGAACACATAATGTAGGATTAGTAGAAAAGGATAGTAAACACTATAAATTTTCTGCCATATAAGCCTACATCATATATTTTTAAATGGAACCACAATGTGCATTATATATGTGTTTCATAGAGCTTACTTAAACCGATTACAATGATGTAACACACTTTATATTTTAGTCCACTCGTTTTTGAGAAATCGGCAAAAATAGGAGATTTTTATATAATTTCAAAGAATGCCGTCACTGACTGCAACAACAATAATTATTTACAAAATAAAATAGAACAAAAACAGTGCAAAGGAAAAGACAATTCTTTAACTGGTCTAAATACTGCTGTATGTGACCAACATTTTTCTAAAAAAAGAAAAAATCCATTAAAGTTAAGTCGCGGTTGTTGGCTGATCAATCCATAGTTCCGCCGATCCCTATCCAACCGCTGGGATATTCCATTGTGAGGAGAGGTACCGTCTTGCTGCCATATAATCAGCACTGATGTATTTAGGGGTACATCTTCTATATATTGTTCTATTTGGTATTTTAAGAGTTGCAAATAATGATCTCCAGTTAACTTTTGATCTATAAATATCGTACCCAAAATATACCCATCTATAACGCCGCACCATACATTAATTGATTGGTACCCCTGGGTTTTTATTTCGTGTATTTTTCTATGTTTATTTACGAGGTTAGCGGCAAAATTTCCCGGCCTGGCATAGATGCAGTTCCAGTATCACGATAAAACTTTGTCTTCTTTTAAATATATATCTTAATAGGCTGCGAAAAAAAATGGAAGTCTTGAGTAAAACAGTTTTTTATTGACAGCATTTTAAAAAAATGTCGCAAATAACGCAAATTGAGTATAGAGCAGTCATACAGTTTTTGACAAAAGATGGGTTAGCACCTAAAATTATTAAAGAAAGGGTGGTGTGTACGGCCAAAGTTCTCCTTCGTATTCTGTAGTGCAAGAATGGGAAAAACGTTTTCGAATGGGGCAGTCCCTTGAAGATGATTCAAGAACTGGTCGACCAGTGGAGGTCATAACGGAATATATTGTTGCGATTGTGGAAGAGGTGGTATTGAGTGATCAACTTTTAAAGGTCAAGGAAATCTCAGAAATTATTAAGCTCTCTAATACAAGTGTTCGTCGAATTCTGCATGATCATGTATGCATAAGGTTAGTGCAAGATGGGTTCCTAAAAACCACTCTGTGGATCGGAACCGAAGATGTGTGAAACTATTGTGACGGGAGATGAAACTATGGTTCTCTATTATTACCCTCTATCAAAAAAAGAATCAATGGAGTGGCATCGTAAGGGTTAAGCACCTCCAACAAAATTCAGGGTCTGTCAGTCAACAAAAAAGGTGATGGCCACGATCTTTTGGGATTGTGAAGGAATCCTTTTGATAGATTTTAAAGAAACTAATACCACTGTCAATGGTAAATATTATGCAACATTATTACAAAAATTGCGAGACTGCATACGTGTAAAACGTCGAGGAAAACTGACCAGAGGCGTGCATCTTTTGCACGATAATGCACCTGTCCATACTGCTGATGTTGCACAAGCTGCCATTTTAGCGTGTGGGTAGATAGATGATCCTCACTATAGTCCAGATATGGCCCCCAGCGACTATTATTTGTTTGGATATTTGAAAAAGGACTTACGTGCATGGCGGTTTAACGACGAAGTTGAGTTAAAAGAGGCTGTTTTAGCTCATTTTTCAGACAAACCAAAAGAATATTTTTTTAAATGGATTAAGTTGTTAATAAAGATATGTAATAAGTGTATTGAAGTTAAGGGGAATTATACTAAAAAATAATAAAAAATTGTTACTCTTCTTTGTTTCTTTCATAATCAGGCCCGGAAATTTTGGCGCTACCCTCGTAAAGCCAAATATCGCGTATTTGTAAAATGTTTTTCAAAAAATTATTATTCTCATTAACAAAACTGCATCTTTGACATTTTTCTGCACTTAGTTTTTGAGTTTTACGAAATTTGAATGGGTTATATTTATATTATTTGATTGGATTGGATTGATCCCCGAGAAATCCCCGTGTCTTCATATACTCTAGTAATAGAGCAAACTGGATGTGCTTCATAAAATCCTAAGATGATTGCCTTATTATCTTCATTTAAAATATTATGACTCCGGCATACCTTTTTAGTATTTTTTACGTTACAGTTTTCTGCAAATTTAACTACCAGCCTTGGAAATATTTGTCCTGAAGGAGCTCGACGCTCTGGATAAAGTCTAATATACTGACGACAAGCTGTGGTTGCACTTTTATTATTCAGAAAGTATACTTGAAGCATATCACTTCTAAATTCGCGAAAAATTATTTTAACAATAATAACTTGGACAATAATTCAACCATCAACGTTGCTTACTCATACACTCTTTGAAATTATATAAAAATTTCCTATTTTTGCCAATTTGTCGAAATCGGAATAAGATATTCTATTCAACACAGGGCGTTCCATTAAAAAATGTATGAGGTAGGCTTACGTCAGAAAATTGATAGTGTTTTGTTTTATATGTCACTTGGAAAAAAACTTGGCTACTAACCCTACATTTCGTTTTTTTGTTTACCTTGATATCTCCAAAAACAAAAAATGTGATCAAGATAAATTGAACGCACGGCACGCAGAGTAATAATATTTGTAATTACTTAAATGATTTGTTATTTTAAATACTTTTTTGGCTTCAACAGCACGTAATACATGCATACATGCATGTATTACGTGCATGTACATGCATGCATGGGAGGCTGAATTACAGCCATTTAGCCGCTTTAAAATGGTTTCATTATTTACTCATTATTGTAACAAGCAAGTGTTTAATTATTATTATTATAATAAACGAAATGGCCGCTGAAAGTGCGTCAATTCTCTCTGTTCTGGGAAAACGAGTAGGTTGTGTGTGGAGGTGGCTGTTTAAAAAAAAACATGGCACGAATTGCAGCTTAGCGAACCACTATATAATTATCTAATAGCTATACGCTGGAAACTAATGCAATCAATTCCTTAACTGTACTGGGACTAACCCTTAAGGACATCTCTTTCGTGTAACCAGGACAGGCTCGTCAGATCATCGTCGTTGTTTTTCTGACTTTGAGCAACCGCGAGTAGGATAGATATCGGAGACTGAGCGTCTCTATGCGGCGTCAGTGCTTCGGGACTTCCCGGCGCCGACATCTTGAGCGTTGCCAGGGCGACCTCGTCTTGTGCGGAACTGGGACGTTCAGGGGACATTTTGGTGAGAAATGAGTCTTTGTATAACTGAAATACACAATATATAACATACCCAAAAGTTATTAAATACTATAAATAAGTTAAGTATTAAAGGACAGAACATTGGGGGCGGAGTCTCAAAGGTTTTGGTATAATCTTATTAAATTACACTAACAAAAAACAATGTCTATACATATCTATTCATAAATAAATTTTTATTCTCTTCTCTTCTTCTTCTACTTCTTGGAGATCTGCCGATCTGTTAATTCTGAAGCTGCCTCTGCATCTCTTCCTGTGATGTGGATTGCCAACTATCTTTCCACCTTTTAGGTGGTCTCCCGGGAGATCTTGGGCCGGCCGGGTTGTTTTCCAGGACTATTCTCGGAAGTCTGTTCTCGTCCATCCGTCTTACATGATTGTACCACTGCCTCTTACATTGTCTTCCCCATCTCACAATATCTTGTTTCCCCACTGTTGTCCTCAGTGTTTTCATCTCTGCTACCCTTAGTATTTGGTTCGTCTTGTTGGTGTATTCGCGGACTTCCGTGCCGTACGTCATGATGGGTCTGATACAAGTCGTGTACCGATTGGAGCAGACTATATCTCGTAGGCGTCCTGATAGTGCGGATGCTTTGTTAATCTGGGTCCTTGTCTTTAACTGGGTCGTGGGCGCTTGATATATCTATGCCCAGATATCTGAATTACATCACTTGTTCTATGGGTTTGTCCTCTACCACCAGCTTACATCTGAGCGGATCCTTAGCGATTGACATACATTTGGTCTTGGGATTTTTATTCTAAATGATGCTTCACTATCAGAGTCGTCATTGAGATTGATTATAGTACGATTTACGTTGCTGAATTTTTCCAGCTCTCAATTGGTATGTTAGTAATTCCATTTTTTATCAAGTTTATAACACTGGGACGCTGGGCTGGAATTAGGACTTCCAAAAGTTGCGCTTTTTTGTAACTGAATTCAAAATAAATATCATTTTCTTACAAATATTCCTGGATTTCAGATTTTGAACTTGACGAGGCTGGTACTTTGCATAGCACATTGTAATTGCGAAGATTTTTTAAAAGTGTTTTGAAACCAATTGATAATCAATGCTAGAATATGGTCTTTGCAAACAGTTTCACCGAGGTACGAACAACTTGGGTCCTGTCTATACGGTGAGTTTGACAATCACTACGTTTAATCCTTTTTTTCAATTGTCCACTATTAATATTATCGCTTATCAACGATATTGGCGTTTTTGTAAGTAGACAGGTAAGAATTATAGTATATTATGTAACAAGTGCGGTAAACGGCATTTGACTCACGAGTTTATTTGACACGAGCGTACCGCAGCGGAGCGAGTGTTTAATAAACGAGTGACTTAAAAAGTTTACCGAACATGTTGCATACTATATTTTTTTTACCGCACGGGTTTGGGAGCAATCGAATGTTTTCGGAGATATTTCCCACGCCTTGAATTTTGACGTTTGTCAATTCTGACGGTCATGTCAGTGAATGTATTCGTGTTGTTTTGAGAAAATGTACGCGAAAACTAACGGTCGTAGAAAAAGTATAGTCTGCAACACGTTCGGTAAACTTTTTAACTCACTCGTTTATTAAACACTCGCTCCGCAAGTGTCAAATAAACTCGTGAGTCAAATTCCGTTTACCGCACTTGTTGCATAATATAATACTTGTTAATGGCATTACCCAATAACAATAGGTAATAACATTGTCAATGTTTTACTGGAGAGGGTCTGTCGAAAGCCAACAGGGTGGTCCATTTAGGATGCTCCTATACCTTATTTCAATAAGTACAACACTGGGGAATTTCTATGGTGTAAAAACGTTTTGATAAAATTTTGTAGATGCAAATAAAGGAAATAGCAATACACTTTGGTTTGAATTGTGAGCCCTAAAATCCAGATATATCTTGATTCATAGTGCTATTACTAGTCGCAATTCCACATCTGTCTAGAATTCATCAGGGGATTAATTGCTGTCGTTTATCAAGTGGACAAACGTTGGAAAATTTTTGTGGAAATCTCTCTTTAATATCACGTCAATGGAAATGAGGATATAGCTTAATTTCAGCAATAGTGCATTAATAATGCATGAACATCAGAAATAATACTTTAAACCTATTGATAATGAATACTGTACTACACCTTAACTAACAATGCAATATGTGATTCAAAACAATGATTTCTTTCATGATGGTCGCTACAGTACAGAATAAAATATAAAATATTTTAATGGGATGTAAATATAATAGAATAATTGTTGTTTTATGTGTTTCAAATTTTCCCAGTTAATTACCAAGTACAGGGTGGAAGACTTAAGATGCTTCTACAACTTATCTCATTAACTAAGACACTGAGGAACAAAGTTAAATACAAAAAGTGTTTAACCCTAAGTATATATTGTATTTATAGTATTTTTAAACTAACCAAAACTAACCAACTTTTATTTTTAATGAAATTTTCAAAAATTCAAATTATTCGCTTGATTGTGAGTATTTTTTGTCATTACGAATTCTGACTGGTTTTTCAGAAAAATGAACTTTTCCATTTTTTTACGAAATAACTGAAAACAAAATGCATTCTATTACACTTTAAAACTAAAATTGGGAATTTTTATTATGGATCCATGGAAGTGGATAATATTTAATGCTCTGACCATAAAAACTCTTCCTTTTTTTGAAATGGAACATCTTATATTTAGTACTCGTATTGGTTTTGGGATTTAATTCTGTATCATTTCATATAATGAAGCTTTTATTACAAAAATTACGAAATTTAGAAGTTATAGCCACTTTTCGCGAAATAAGTCATTGTTTTGAATAATATTTTGCACTGTAAATTAAGGTTTAGTATAGTTTAGTATTTGAAATGACCTCGCCCACGCCTAGTCGGTGTATAATTCGGTAGCTAGTATATCAACAAGATATTTTTAAACTTTTAGGTTTTCCTAAGCCAAATTTGACATAAATTTTCTCGTCGCAGAGGTTGCATTTGTCCATAAAGATCACATAGGCATAGCAATCTCTTGTAGTATCACCCTGTATTATTAATAAAACAATGAATATATGCAACATGCTGCATTAGCATGCTTATATCTCTCTCAGACCAAATCGGTTGCTTACAGTTTGTTAGAAGGTTCTTAGAGACACCATCCCTAGAGGGGGCGGGGGGACATCTATATATAGTCTAAATTAAATACACATAGTACAGTTAAATAAGAAATTTTTCTTGTGTTAACATCCATCGTACTACTTAACAAGGACAAAATTTTTACAAATTGCACTTACTCTAATTTGAATAATGATAAGCGAAAAAAAAGTCTAATAAAAGCAGCTCTAGTCTGGGTTCATAATTGTGGTGGACGGGCAATAAAAAAGTTTTAATTAATATCGAATAATTTAAGAGTTTTCAGTGAGTAGGAACATTTTTGGCAAACTGGTCCAACGTTTATTCAGATTTTACCTGAGAAAGCAACCGCCAGATATAGAAATTAGATAGAGAAATTAAAAACAGAAAGTATTCATAATTACGTATTTTTGGAAAAGCGAATAAAACAATAAAAAATATATGTTTTAATATGTTTTCGACCCAACACACAGAATGTAGACAAAAAGATGGAATTTAGCATTAGTTATATAATTTTTTCTAGCGTTTTTATTTTTGAATCCTTAATAATAAAAGCAACTGTTTTAGTTCAATATTTATTCATTCCACAACATCATCATCAACATTAATAAGAATCATTAATTATCACCTAATGAAGGTGTTTTAAAAGGTTTGGTTTCTGATTAAATTTTGGAAATTTAATTTTATTCCGATACTGTATTCATAAAAATTATCTTAAGAAGAATAAGCACAAAAAATTTACTCATTTCGCCTCTCTCGTGGAAAACAGTTATATTTACCTATTTTATCAGTACCACTACATCTTTAATCGACATCCCTTCATTTAGAAAAAATAAAATGTTAAAACCTTGCAATTCAAAACCTACGTTTATATAACTTTGGCTTTAAAATTAACCAAGGAATCATAGAATCAAGTTAAACTACATTCTTAATTGACACCCTGCATAGAGACCCAATTTTATTGTGACATAAAATCAAGGCACCTAAGATAAGTTAAAAATTAAAACAAATTTTAAAAAGCTTAACTTCTGACCCATTAAGTCAACATTGCAACATTATTTGCGAAAAACAAAACAAATAACTACAAACTACTGAAAGAAGTTTATTGATGGGAAAGTCAAAAATATATCAACACACATTCTCTTCTCGATCTCCCGTCGGTCTATCAATACGAGCGGATTAACAAAAAATTATCACTTAAGTAGAAACAGAATTAATTAATCAAACTGCAATTTTATCGACATTAACTTTACTAAAAAATGTTAACTAGATTTTCTTTTTATAAACGATGCAATCGATTTAAAAAATAACGCAATAGGGAAACTAATTCACTTATATAATTACAGAACCGTGACTACAACAACTTGAATACCTACACAATGCCCAGCATAACGAAGATGTAGAATCTCTGCAAGGTTTCACGAGCATATTCTTATAACATTTTGGATGCTACCAGATTCCTACAACCTTTCGCCGCGTTATCAACTAATTTCGCCGTTTCTCAAGGTTATATATGCATTTATATTATGTCAACAACAAAAACCAAATACACAACACGTAGAAGCCTACATCGTATGCTTAAAATACGGAAAATTGTCCTTACGTGAGAAATAATTAGACTCAACGGGAGATGCAGTTTTTGGAACGGTAATAATGAATAAGATTCGCACATCAATTTTAGAGACATTTGAGTTGCCATGGAAACGAGTTCCGTATGCATAAGAAGTGAAATTCCTGCGCGGAAAACGATCGGAAAGCCCACATCCAAACACGAACAAGACGCCACGACGTAGTTCGTAGATTGCAGCCGAGTACCACAGCGTCATCGTTGTCATGGCAACGATCGCCGCCGTTGCCGAATAATACAAAAATTCTTATGTATTACTCGCAATATTGACGACATATCAATTTTCTAACAGAAACCTGGGTTGTGGTAGGTTTAATAGCAATGACAGGCAGCATGTCATAATTTTTTTTTACTAAATACGTAATTTTTACTACAGAATTATTATTGCGAAGTAATATATAATACTTAAATGCTTTTAAAATTAAGTGCCATTCGAAATGTTAGTGCGTACTTCTTCCTTATCTTTCGTAAATAATTTGCACCCAATCGAAAATTTACGAAATCAAGAAATATGACAACACCGATCCTTGACGTAATTCTTAAATGCAGCTACGCGAAGAAAACAAATATGATTAGCCTATCAGACTTACCTAGCCAAATTTAGATAATTATATGATGCTTTTAGGAAAAATAAAGTTCAAGTGATTGCGACAATCACTTATAGAAATTCGATCCTCCCATTAAGTAAACAAAGCCCAAAGCCGTTATATTTTTAGCACGAGGCACTTGCATAGTTTCCTAAACAAAGTGAACAACTTCCCAAAATATAATTTAATGTTAACATTAACTTAATATGAAAGTAGGGAATTTCGTTTTAAATTTATGGTGAACTTAATACCTATCGGGATAATATGGTGATAACAGATTATAACAGTTATGCAACATGGTTAATGATTTTATACCCAAATACTGTATTAAAACTCGCACCTTACCAGTAGATATGTTGTTGCAAAAATTTAAGACAACCCCAACATATTGTTGAAACATTTCTGGCATATTTTAATTTCAATAAACAATTTAAAACACAATGTACATTGTTTAATGGTCATGGTTACACAATCACTAACAAAAATTAACTTCAAAAGTTTATAAATATGATACATGTTTCCGTATGTTTAACAACAAATATTAATTGACGAAAAATGGTACGTGGTGCTTGCACGCGTGTAACATAACCATATTTCCCATGCAGTTCCTTTTTCCAGGTTGTTTATGGATTCCGCGGAGCAACTCGAATCTTTTGGATATAGTTAACAAACAAACTGGCTTAATTTACGATTGCAGCACTTAAACAAACTATGAAAACTTAAAAAAATCTAGGTCAAAATCTCGGCCATACCAAATATACACAACGTGAATATGAGGCAGCATTTTTGGTTGTCTCCCAAGCAACTTCAATTAACCACAGACAACATTCGATTATTACAAATGAAAGTCGCAACTCTAAACAAAACGGCCAACAATCAGGCAAATTGTGTCCTACCTTTTACTAAAAAAAAACTTAGAAAATAACACAACCAAACACCGATTTCAAGACCACACCATTTCTGCCACTTAAACACATGATATCGGTGATTTGTTTGAAGCCATCCCAGTGACATATTTTTAAAACTTCGCGCCGTTTCTCAACGACCCGTATTTTTCTCATTTTTGGCCGAACTTTAGCGAAATATAGTAAATTTCGAATACGTTTCCCTTTTTACATGTTGGTATACCATACGGACGTATCAATTAAGTGCTAGAATAAAAAAGAACATCAAGCGTTATCGATTTGACTTAAACGACAAAAAAAATGACAGAACAAGAAAATAATCTGGCCCTCCTAATCTGTCATTTAATTATTTTAACTTTGCATAAATATATTCGTAATTTTTTTAATTTAGATTTCATTCAATTCATTTCTACAAGGTTTTGCTCGATCCAGCTGAATTTTCAATTAACCGATTGCTTCCAGTGTTTCTTTAAAATATTTCATTCATTGTTGCTGTAGACAGAAAAACTATTCATTTAAAATGTGATCTAATGCAAATACGCAGATAATAATGCTGCAGAGAGATTTAGTATTCGGCGGTGTATTGTGGTTTGCCTAGCTCACGCAACCATTTCAGAATTAAATCAAAATTGTATATATTAAGGTAAATATCTTACCTGTTACTCTACATACTTAAATAAGTAAACTAACCCAAATTCAAAAGATGCTTTTAATTGGTTTTATATTTTATTATTTCATTTTTTTAATTCTCTAAAACATTAAAAATATTAAAAAAAACTTTATGATATACTCATTAATATATTTTTATAATAATCCGCCAATGCGTTCCCAAAATTCAATGAAGATTTAAAATTAAATTGTTTTGTGTGTTTTTATACAAATAATGTGCTTTTTTAATTGTTTTCAAATGCTAGAATTTACCCAGCTCGTTGCCCTTAAATTCCACCATACCAACGTGACGGCGAAACAAAAAAATATATTTATCCAAACAATTAAAACTTTATTTAATTTAAACACAAGAATTACAGATATATCTTCCAATTTAAACATAGAAATCACATATTTAAGTCTGGAAAGGTACTGCTTTGGAGCATCCAATTTTGAGACTGAATGCACTGAATCATAACCTGGTAAAAATATTTCCTTGCAAAAAAGCCGATACCAGACGTCAACATTAGCTTTTATGCCAGAATTAGTTGCTTCAACTTCAATTTCCTTTTTCAGTGGTTCTTTTAATTTTTCCTCCCTTTCACTTCTTTCTAATTCCTCTTTATAAGGCATGCCTACAAACCAGAAGGTCGCTTTTCAAATATCTTTGATGATAATACTACGATTTAAAAATTTGATTTTCTAGGACCTGCTCAATTTCTGTGCTGAAAATGGGTAAATTCTTCGTGATTTAGTTCAGTCCCCGCCCGGTAGATGGGCCTCGAATGTGGACTTAGGAATTTTGTATTGTTTGTAGCCCTTGGTTTTCAGTGCAAGAACAGCATTGTAATGGTATTATTTAACTATTAACCAAAACTATTAACTGTATAACTGGGAATTAGCGTACGTAGTTTGTTTTTTTGTTGGATCGTTAGTATTCCAAGAGATACTTAGTTGATAATTAAACAAGTATGAAAATTACTTCTTTCAAATTTGGGTTTTCGTGTGTTTGTTATATTGTTGTGTGTAATTAACTTACATATTGGTAATATTTATTAATTCAAAATACAGTATCATTAGAATATCTACATATCTGCATGTTTTTTTGCCGTTTTCAACTTCAATTACTTTAATTAAAAAAATAAAACGCAAAACATATTTTAGGGGCAAGTCGAAAGACACTAAGATATTTTTACTACAAAAATATTTATTTAAAGGTTAGAAGAACATAAAGCCATACGAACTAAAATAATAAACTTGAATTAATGACGATCGAAGTAAAGAATAATTATTAAAAAACATGCTTCAAAGACTTTAGTAGCTGTCTCGACGATGATTGGTATCTTATTAATGTTTGTTAATGTGCTAGGCTGGTTTATGAACTTTAGCAACAAATGAATTTTGTTCAACAACATTCCTGTTTAACCGAACTATCCTCGCTTTAGTAAAACCACTTATGAATATTTCGGGCCTGGTTTCTGTCCATATCTCCCTTAACATCTTGGAGAATCAGCAACCCCTACATTTTTTCTTTGCCATTCAATAAGTTTGTCATCCCTCGGAGCTAGAGTAATTTAAAGAGACACAACTCCAAGAGATGGATGTATGTGCCTGGTGCGAGTTGGAAACAAGTAAATCGACATAGTTGTGGATTCAGAATGGGTCTGTATTTTTTTTGTCTAACATATTCTACACTCTGGGATATTTTCACAGATAAATTATGCTTACGCTTAAAATTAAGAAACCAGTCTTCTCCTCGCTTGCCATCTTTAAACTGGCAATTTATGTGGTTTTCTTCGACATCAACTACAGTTTGTATTATTCCTTTCCGGACCAGGCCAAACGTCTTGAGCTCTTCCATAGTTAGAACTGTTTTGTCCTCTTCAACATTTAAGATTATCGTGACGGGTAGCTATTTTAAAGTTGTCTACTTTGTTAACCCGGTATGAAGTCATTTGGCCTAACTTCCATTATATTATTTATCCATTCTTAACCGTTACCGATAAAACGAGATTAGAAAAAATCGTTTATGGTTTTAGAAAGTTTGATCGTATATCGGAAAAAATGTTTGCGTTGAAATGACTCAAAACTAAATACTTGTCTCAATTTTTACTCGCAATTGTTGTATTTAAGGTTATGAAATATCCTTTACCAACGTACCTGAAAGATCGTTTAAATCGTAATGAAATTCACAAAAGGACAAAAAGCGTTCTGGATATGCCCGAGGATAATTCTGGTAAATTTGAAGGCTGCTTTAGCTATAACGACATTAAGTTTTATAATAAATATTTTGAATCTATCTCAGTACTTAGTAAAAAGTTTGTTCGAATTACAAATATATCTGTCCTAAACAAATTAATATTTTGCGAATAATGAATTTTTGGACTCTTATTATTATTCTAGCTTGTTGTTTCATTCCCAAATAGCACAAGGACGTCCGTAAAACGTCCTCGGAACATCTGACGGGACATAGCGTATATCCTAGGGATATACTGTTTCAGCTAAGGGACATCCTTAAGACGTCTTAAGGATATAAGATGTTACTAATTGGAACGTCCACAGTATATAAGATCCGTATGTCCGTAGGATGTTTGTTAGAACATCCTAAGGATATCCAGATATACTAGTTGAGACGTCGTTAGTATATCCGACTGTGAGGATATAGGATCTTATATAGATATACCAGTGGACCTTACTTATTAGGTTATTTATACCTATGAGAAATACTGGAAAGGTAATGATCAGTAGTCCAATTGGTTGTACGACTACAAAAATTCTATCCCAGTATTTGGTACTCGCGTATGAAGGAATTAACCTATTGGGTATGGTTGGTGAAGTCATCGCTGGAATAGCATGCGATATTTCAAATGCACAAGTTTTTTTAAATTAATATTTAATCTTTAATTTTGCTTTTGATGGGAAAAGTCAAGGACTGCCGCTTGATACCATAATT